CAATCAATTTTTAAAATAATTTCTATCTTTGAGATTTAGAAAGTTTGGATGCTTTCCTGCCTTTATAAGTCATTTCATTTCTCCAAATGAATGAAGAAAAAAAAAAACTTTACAAATAGTTTTAAAGCATCCATCATACTTCTGCCTCTTGAAAAATGTTTCTCCGTCTTTTAATGCAATTCTCTCTTACCTAGTATTTATTGATTCCTTGCTAAATGTCCTGACAATATGCAAATCAGGTATAAGTCTCAGTTTTACTATCTGAAGCATAAAAACAATTACAATTCAATATGATAAGTGAACAGAAGTTAGTAATGTATTATCAAAGTGAGAGAATAGTATATATGCTATATATGCTAACAGCAAAGATTTCTGTGACTAAGCTTATCCCTATATTTTCAGTGAGTGTTTATTGAATCCCATAACAGAGTCATTTAGAAAACTACTATCAAGTTGGTGCAAATGTAACTGCAGTTTTTGCATTGTTGAATTTGCTTTTTGATGATGGAATACATTCTAAATAAATGTGGCTATGTTATACATCATTTGAATGCACATTTCTAGCTTTAGTTTTTTTTTTTCAAGACTTATTACTTGCTATTTATTTTATATTTACTTTAGACTAGGGAAATGATGTTAGATGAAAAGCAAATTCAAGCAATTTTCTTATTTGACTTTAAAATGGGTCATAAAGCATGGAGACAATTCACAACATAAACAATGCATTTAGCCCAGGAACTGCTAATGAATGTACAGTGCAGTGGTGGTTCAAGAAGTTTTGCGTAAGGAGATGAGAGCTTCAAAGACAAGGAGCTCAGTGGCCGGCCATTGGAAGATGACAATGATCAATTGAGAGAATCATTGAAGCTGATCCTCTTAAACTACACAGGAAGTTGCTGAAGAACTCAACATAGACCATTCTACAGTTGTTCAACATTTGAAGCAAACTGGAAAGGTGCAAAGCTCAATAAGCAATTAAGTGAGTGCCTCATAAGCTGACTAAAAATTTTTTAAAAAAATCAATGTTCTAAAGTGTTGCTTTCTCTTATTCCACAAAACAACAACAAACCATTTCTTGATCAGATTGTGATGTGGGCTGAAATTTCTATTTTGTGGTGGCACTGAATGTAAATGTCATTAATCAGATGTGCTTTTACAGAAAGAATCCTTTATGAAATATTTGATATACATGAAATACTTGAAAGGCATATTTGGTGGTGGTTACTGGACTCACCAAAATGATTATTTCCTCTCTGAAAATATCTACCCCAAGATTTTGGTATATAGCAACTCCTTGGTTCATAGAAGTATTTGCTTAAAGATGGTTAACTTTATGACTTTGAGGTAAGATAAAGGAATTGACTTTGCAATTTATAAGCTCTTGATACATAATGGTAGGAGTAAGGTAGACTGAATTTTTAAAAAACTAGAATGGTAGTCACATGTTACAATATGTATCCCCAAAATCTCTATGAGCCTACTTCAAAAGAGCTCATCATACTTTGTCCAGTCATCAGATCCATTATGTATACTGGTAGTTGTTCAAATCAAGAGGAGACTGTCAATTTCACAAAGCACCTTAACTGCAATAAAACACACACACAAGGCAGGTGAAGTAACTTGAAAAAAAAGTTTGTGGCACTGTCTCATATGAAGAGCTTCAGTGTTCATTTTAAGAATAATCCAAACCCCTGTTAAATATTTATTTACTTATCTAAATTAAATATGGTAAATCTTAACTTAGTATATTTATGAACACTGTCTCTAACTTTAAATGTTCATCCAAAAATCAGTTTAGAATACGTATTCCCATGGAAGTGATGTTATAAGATTGCTTTCAAATTAATTCACAAAAGTCTGTTGCAATGAACACTAGGGATCATTTTAAGATATGGGAAATGTTCCAGAGTTGAGCAGTGACAACAATTCCACGACTCTGTAAATTTAATAAAAATTTTGAGTTTTTCACTTAAAATGAGCATATATCAAGGTATATAAATCATATCTCAACAAAGCTATTTTCTTAAGGACTATTTAAACAATTAAGTACATAAATCTTGTTTTTTTTTATATATATAATAGTGACCTATACTTCCATAAATGGCAAATTCCATCACTTCATGGCAAATAGATGGGGAAACAGTAGAAACAGTGGCAGATTTTATTTTTCTGGGCTCCAAAATCACTGCAGATGGTGATTGCAGCCATGAAATTAAAAGATGCATACTCCTTGGAAGGAAAGTTATGACCAAACTAGACAGCATATTAAAAAGCAAAGACATTACTTTGCCAACAAAGGTCCATCTAATCAAGGCTATGGTTTTTTCAGTAGTCATGTATGGATGTGAGAGTTGGACTCTAAAGAAAGCTGAGTGCTGAAGAATTGATACTTTTGAACCATGGTGTTGGAGAAGACTCTTGAGAGTCCCTTGGACTGCAAGGAGATCCAACCAGTCCATCCTAAAGGAGATCAGTCCTGGGTGTTCATTGGAAGGACTGATGTTGAAGCTGAAACTCCAATACTTTGGCCACCTCTTGCGAAGGGTTGACTCATTGGAAAAGACCCTGATGCTGGGAAAGATTGAGGGCAGGAGGAGAAGGGGACGACAAAGGATGAGATGGTTGGATGGCATCACCGACTCAAAGTACATAGGTTTGGGTGGACTCCAGGAGTTGGTGATGGAGAGGGAGGCCTGGCGTGCTGCGGTTCATAGGGTCGCAAAGAGTTGGAAATGACTGAGTGACTGAACTGAACACTTCCATAAAACTAATTAGTACAGTTAAATTGTCCCTAAAAACTCACATAACAAATAGTAATTGGTTTGATTTACTAAAATGAATATATTCTGAACTGTAGCCTTAACTGGAGGTAAGGTTAATTAGGAGAGTAACAATTCTATTGCAAAATGGCTTTCCTATTTCAAATAATTTAGAGTCAAATTCATTTTTCCCTGATCTTGGATTACCACAATTTCAACTGTACTGATCACTTGTCCACAATATTTTTTAAAGAGTATTGTCTTTTAAGGAAAAATAAAATAAAAGAGCTCTAAAGTGGTACAATTGTCCATCCTTCTTGGTTACTGTCTCATCATCCCTAGGTTTCTCCAGGAAGATAGATATGGTGAGTCATGAAAGAGAAAATGTTACTGCTACTTCTTAGCCTAGAGCTTGGGGAGATGGGCCTGTGTGATTTCAGTTAGCTGGCTCTTTTCACAGAGGCAGTTGTCAAGAAATTTTATCCTCAGTTCACTGATATATCCCAAACAAAGTGCCTGGTACACACTGGACCTTCCATTAAAATTCTATTGTTATCTTTTGATCACACTGGGTCTTAAAGTATCAACTAAATAAATAAACGCAACTTCCAGTGGTCTTCAGATATCTCACAGTGACCCTTTTCTTGTCAGAAGCCAATTGGCCCCTTACTAAACCAGTTTCTTCCAAGCCTAAACCTTAAATGGGGGGCTCCCTTAAATGGGAGGGGTAGTCTGATAAAGGAGCAAAGGGTTAGGAAAAGTAATTCTTCCTAAAATGCAGAAAGAAGTTCAGGAACCCAAAACGACTGCTGGCTCACATATGGTAACTTTTACAAGGAGAATTTGCCTCCAAGTCAAAATCAAGACACACATGTGGCAAGTTCAAGCTGACCAAAATGGCTGGTAATTTTAAACCAAACATACTCAGTGTTTAATACAAACAGTTAATATGAACATCCTGTTCTATTTTCCTAAGGGTTTTATATACATATATATATATATATATATATATATATATATATATATATATATATAAATAGATTATATATATAATAGAGTCTGTAGAAAATGTCTTGGTACACAAGCTAAACATCAATCTCATGTTGCAAGAATAAGTAACTATAAGCAGAGCTTTATTTTTTCCTGGGAGACAACAGGGAAATTCTAAAGATGCAAATATATGAACCTTTCAAAATTTGTAAGTATTGATGGCACCAGAACTCCAGTATGTCTATTTTCAATTCAAAATTTCTGCCTTTATTTAACAAATACATATAAAGCACTGTTCTTACTTTCACCCATAATAATTTGTGGTTTTGGACTTCAAATTGAGGGAGAGATATAAAAACTTTCCTAACTTAAAGAGGAAAGTGCAAGGAGATTTAAAATGATAACCAATGACCAAAGAATAAAAAAGAATGTAGGGAAAATGGTAGAAAGAAAAGGTGTCTACCAATACTGCTTCATGACAACCTGACATTATTAAAAAAGAGAGAAGATAAGGAAACACAGCAAATACTCCACATTTAGTAGAAGAACAGATATTTACATATGAGAAAGATTTTTCTTTCTTATTAAACATGCTTTTTTTTTTATTTTTCACTTATAACTTACATGATCTATTTCCTCCTGGACAACCAGAATCCACTGAGCTACTCTCTCAATAGAAAGGTTCAATATGATCTTTATTCTATCTCAAATCAGGGTTAAGACATGAATTTCACAAAAATTTTAGCCTATGCCTTGTCTTCCCGTTGGTATTTATGATAGCTCATCAAATTTGATCATATTACTTAAATATGTTAGACCATGGTTTTATAATTATGAATAATATATACTTTTTAAAACAATGATTCATTGTGAATAAAATAATTCAATATATATTCTGTAAGTATGAATTTCAACTCTTTTAAAATAATTTAATACAGGCTTAGAAAGCCACATATTCGGGACTTCACTGTCAGTCCAATGGTTAAGAATCCATTGTCCAATGCAGGAGACATGGATTAGATGTTCATCAGAGGACTAAGAGCCCACATGCCCCGGGGCAAGTAAGCCCATGCACCTGCACCGCAAATAAAGAGAAGCCCATGCACTGCAACGAAGAATCTGTGTGCCACAACTAAGATCTAACACATCCAAATTTTTTTTTTTAATTTTAAATTTAAAAAAAAGGCGTCTTCCAAAAGGATGGCACCAACTGACAGAAAAAAAAAAAAAGCTACAAGTTGCTTCTCTTACCATTCAGTAAACAAGACAACCAGATCCTCTTGATTGGCATAATGTTTCATGACTTCTTTCATCAATCTCACTTTTTGGCCTCCTCCAATAGTATTAATTCCATCACCACCTCTCCACTCTTCTCCTTGACCAAGGACCTGTAAATGAAATCAACATTTTATCCTCGGGCAAATCTCAGGTTATGAAGTGTCATAAACACTGGAAGTCACCAGCAGTTTGTACAATATAACATAGCACCACTCTTTAAATGCTACACTCATGATGCTAGACAGAAAAAAACTTGATACCTAGGTCAGGTCATAATTCTTTAATGTTATCCACCCCATAAAATGCCATTCTCAATTTTAACATTTCAAAAGTAGACACTAATCCAAGGAAGTTGGGGATTGATGAGGGAAGCCACAGAAAGTATTTCTTATATCTTATTTCTCTTTATTCAGACTGAAATGAAAAGGAAAGAAAATGAAGAAACTCAATCTGGCAAGAAATCTGTCTGATGAATAAGGGGGAGCCCTGGAAGCTCAGTGAATCCTGGATGGAGCCCTTGAGCTATTTCCCTGCTGACACCAAATTGGTTATCCCAGGAAACACAAAGGGCATCAGGTCAAATGCCATCATTCTTACCTTAAGAATCTTAAGCTCATGTTTCCCTCAAAAGTTTAATTATTTATCAGTGCAAGAAATCACCTAAGCACAATTACTCAGAGCTAAACCTGAGTCATCCTGGGTTCTGTTTGCCCAGCCTCAGCAGTTGCCTCCTGAACTATGTGCCTGCTGAGGCACCAGGTTGTGAAGAAGCAGGAAACAAGCCTATGAGCCCCTCTGCCACAGACACACCTTGGACCTTTGTTTCATCAAAACAAACTCTGAAGTTCCTGAAACAAGGATCTGCTAACACAGTGGTCCCCAACCATATTGGCACCTGAGGCCAATTTCATGGAAAACAATTGTCCCATGGACTGGGGTTGGGGATGGTTTTTATATTGTGATATATAATACAATATATAGTCTGTATTTACAGCCACTCCCCTCACTAGCATCATTGTCATAGCTCCACCTCAGATCATCAGGCTTTAGATTCTCATAAGAGCATGCAACTGAGATCCTTCATATGTGCAGTTCACAGTTCATGCTCTCCTATAAGAATCTAACGCCTCTGCTGATGACAGGAGGCGGTGCTCAGGTAGTAAGATGAGCAATGAATGGCTGAAAATATAGATGAAGCTTCACTGGCTCACCCGCGCTCACCTCCTGCTATGCAGCCAGATTCCTAACAGGCCATAGACTGGTACCAGCCTGTGGCCTGGGGGTTGGGGACTGCTGTACTAAAAGATTTGTGAATTCAGAGGGAATAAAATTAAGAATATAAAAGAAAAATATAAAATTAATTTAGAAAATAAATATTATTAATTCTAAATTTACTTACCATTGAGCCAAATACAAGCCTGGTTGGTAGAGCTTATGGGACTCCCAGCCTCAGATCCCTACCAGCACTTCCTCACTGCTTATATTGAAGGGAGAAAGAAACACTTGTGTGGGAATTTGGATTCATATTGGAGCTAGTCTATTAGAACATTAGTTCTTGACCTAAAAAGTGGCTTCTGTTGGCCCTAACATTTGTTATACTTCTGTTCCACAACCCTTTTGGACTTCTCCAATACTACAGTAATACTGGGCCTAAATATCTGAGCACCTACTCTTATGTAGTGCTGTTTTGATTAAGCTCTAGTCTCGTATTTTCTTTCCGCTCCATCAGTGTGACAGACTTTAGTATGCATCAGAATCACATAGAGGGTTTGTTAAAACAGATTGCTGGGCCCAACTCCCAGTCTATGATTCAGAAGGTGGGGAGAAGCCAAAGAAGCCTCATTCCTGTTTCCCAGCTGATGCTGATGTTGGTGGTCTGAGGTCCATACTTCAGAACCACATAATGGAAAGACAGGAGAAGGATCAAAAGTTCCAGAGTCAGAGAAAGGGTGCTGGGGTCCAAGATTTGACCCCTTAAAGTTACATGCCCTGGGGCAAATTTCCTCGCTCATAAGCAAAGTAATACCTACCTTACATGATTTATATAATGAATCAACAGCATGCCATGTATAAAGGTCCTAACAGTGTCTCACACATAAGAAATGTACCACACTCTCCCCATTCTGAACCCTTATGATGTCCTTCATTGGATTTCAGAATTATCTTACCATAATTTTTCTCCATTTCCATGTAGGAAATACTACAGTATTTCCTCTGTATCCTAACAAATTTCTCTAATGTATTTCTCCTTTATCCTGTATTAAACACCTAGATCTCTTTCTTTAGCAAAGTTAGCTTCTTTTAACAGTTGTTCTACATTAACATATGTACCTAGTCTTCTAGCAGTTATGTAGCAAATATTATCTTTTTTGCACATTATATTCTAGAACAGCTCACTTTTTCCCTAAGCAAAAAGCAATCTCTCTCTCCTTGTTTTTTTTAAGTTTTATTGTTTTGTTGTGTAAATGTATTAAATTCATTTGTTTCTTTTCCTACCTTGGGATATCTCCCTCTTCTCCTCTATATGTGGAAAAGACTTAGCTGATAGAGCCTCATTTCTATTAAAAAATAAATAACTTTAAAAAAAACAAAGCAGGTCTTTCATAGCTCAGTTTACTAGTCCTACCAAATTTCCCAAGTTTCTTCTGACCATTTATCAATAAGATATTCTCCTACAGATAAGTTATACAGCCCTTTTATAATGTTACTAAATTCCTCTAAAACAAATAAAAAACAAGAAAAGCACCTCCCAATAATGGAACAAAAAAAGTATCTGCTTCACAGTCATGTTTCCAATTCTCCTAAATGAATAAATATACCAAGGTAGACAAACCCACTACAAAAAAAAATCTTCAAAGTGAAAAAATTACTATAAAATCTTAATTATGTTATACCCATATAAGACTCCGCAAAACAAATATATATATGTGTGTGTGTATATATCCTTCTAAATATCCTTCTGTTGTTTTATAGAACATGTTTATACAAAGCATTAGTGAATACTAGGAAATTATTGCTTGAGTGGCATAGTATTAACAAGGCCGAAACCTATGTAAAACAATCAAGTAAGTGTAAACTAACAACAATTATGTAATCAAATTTCATCTCCCTCCTGTGGATTATAGATCATGTTGCTGTTGTTATTGTTTTCATTATGAAAATGTACTTCAGGCACACAGTCTAAAATCTCCATGAATTAAAAGATATACCATACCTTCACAGTATAATTGAAGTATTTGGCTGATTGCATAAATCGATGGAATCCATCACTTTCTTTTGTTGCTACAGTTATGACCAATAATTTATCTGCAAAGACACAGGGAATAACATAAGACAGTTTACTAAGAGTCTAACTACTCACACTTTACAGAGATCACTATAGTGATTAGAGACCCCATTAAACCCATGGGAATGTTCTGGTTTGTTAGTCTACATGAGGCTAAACAAAGAGCTGTTGAAAAACTAGGCAATTAAAATTGGTTCTATTACTACCAAATGACAGACTGTCAAATAATGAATTATTTTAATGGTAAGAAAGTATATTAATATTTACAATAAAGCATGCCCTCAATGGAGGATTTCAGCACTAACAGAAACACTTCCATAAAATTGCACAAGGTTTTATCTGTAAAGACAAACTCTCCTACATATTACCTAATCAACCAGCTTTACTGCCACCTATAAATCATTGCTGATGAATACACACATCAATTAGGTTCAGAAGGACATTACATTCCTCAAAGCACACATACAAAACAAAAAGATCTGATCATGAGATTAATCCTAACTTTTTCAAATAAATTATGAAAAATTGGGAAAAAATACTTAGAAACAGAATCTTAATCTTTTTCCTATCAAAGAATGTTTGTAAATGTGAAGTTTATAAAATCCACATTTATATCACCTTCAGTGTTTTGTTTTTTCTTTAAAGAATAAAAGGAAAATAAATAAAGAATAAAAGGAACCGAAATCAACACTGCCCTAGCAAATAAGCTTTGAGTCATCATTTTATAATGGATTATTATTTTCAATCTAACAAAACATCTCTTCTTAATAGAAGAAAATATATTTAAGAAGTCATCTCAAATTACCTATAGAAGCTATTAAGGAAAAATGCTTATCAGGAAAATATATGTTGGACAAATGCAAAAAGAAACAAATGCATCAGAAAACCCCAAAGGTGCTAGAGCATTTTCTTTTTTAAACCTTAGGGTATCGGAGGACCAGTGGACTAAGAAAGCAAAACCTTAGGGTATCAGGGGACCAGTGGGCTAAGAAAGCAAAATTAACTAAGAAAACAAAATGTCTTTTTGACATTCTAAGCACTGAGTTATGTCATTTGACTCTCAATTACTGTTATCAATAAGAAAAAATTTACAGTGTTAAGTATCTCCTAAACAATAGACAACCATTGAAAATGAAATACATAGCATTAATGTATTATAACAATTAAAAACTATTTCATATGATGCAAGGTAATCATCAAATTTTGAAAATAAACAAAATATAAATAAGTGTAACACACTTATTGAAATCAATTCAAGCAAGTCAATCAACAAAAAGGAAAACATTACCATGAAGATAAATATTAACACTCATATATTTTTCTAGAAATGTGTATTTCTCACATAACTTTCACCATTATGAGAAACAGATATTCAAGCAAAAATAAAAGTCATTTTCAATAAAGCTGTCAGCAATTTTCCAATAAATTATTCTTTTTTAAAAAGCAAAATTTCATTTGTAAAGTTTCAAACAGGGCTAAATCAATTAAGAAAACTTGACATATTATCATTCACAATAAATTCTGAATAAAAGAATACTAGATTCTATTTCATAAGAGTAAAGGAAATACTCTTTAAGTACTCTTTGCTATCATAAAATGACTGTATTTAAAGACAGCTTTATTAGCTTTTTCTACATAAATCATAGAGTATTAGCTATAAGTTTACAGATTTTGCCTAGATGGATCTTTATACTTATAATTTTCAGCACAAAATTAACAGCAAGGATTTCACCATCCTTAATAGGAAAGTAATGTTGGCCAGACCCTCAGGCAGACAGAAATACTACCTAATCTAATGACTCAGAAGCCAAAACTAAAAATACCTAGCCTGACTGTTTCTGGCAATCCTATGCCAAATAAGGACTCCTGTTGTTTCAGTATTATTGCTAATTACAAAAAGCAAAACCAAGTTAATAAATAATTTCATCAAAGAAAGTTCTCATCAATAATATTACATACAAATGTTTGTTTCTTCTTACCTGCTATTAGTATTATAACTGTGAGAAAAATTTACTAAACTAGGGGAAGTAAAAGAAGAAAATGCTGACATGTACCATTCACAAGTTCTTGCCAGCCAGTAGTTCAACAGTTCAACTTACCCACTGTTTTATGACATATTATTGTTAAAAACTTTAAGCTACATTTAACAGGATTCCAGGAATTCCAGGAAAATTCGTACCATAAGTTTACCAGAAGTATTAGGACAGAAGACCACTGATCTCCAGAATCAATGTCAAAAGAGAAAAAGAGGAAAGGGAAACTAACATACCATATCCCACCAGAATTAAGAGACCAGGCAACCAAACATAATCACTGCCTTTATTAGGGTACTGACATGGAAAGTCAACTGCCAATAAGGTATCTGTGAGAAAATTAGGGAAATTTGAACACCAACTTATATTTGTAAATATTAAGAAACTATTGCTCATTTTAGCATGCTAATAATGGTGCTGATATTTTTTACAGGGTCCTGATAATTTAGAGACAAATATTCAAGTATTTATCCAATGAAAGGATATAGTGTTTGTGATCTGTTTTAAAATTCTTAAGGGTAGATAGGAGGCAATGGAGGAGGAAGATAAAAAATTAGACAAGATTGCCCACATATGATGATGCTTAAAACTGAATTCCATTTACATATGTTTGGAAATTCCTACAATTAAAAAGCATTATCTATAATATTCCAATCTGAAAAATATTCAATGTAAAACTTGTTTTAACAGTCTGAAAAGGAAAAATGGAATAGACAGAAAAAAATTTTCTAAACAAAGAGTATTATAATTTAAACAACTATAATTAGTACCTTACCCAATCCACCCACAACAACCAAAAGGATCAAGTGAGATGTTGAGAAAATGGGCTTGAAAAATGGACACCCATCAACCACTAACAAAACCAGTCTAAGAATGTGGTAAAGAAAAGCCCAAATCTGGCCAAATATAACCTCTAGAGCCACGGCCTGACTCTGTCAGAAAGTGGATTAATGCAGTTACCACGAGCAAGAAACATGTAAGGCATCAATAGAGTGTGGTCGATGTGAACCGTTTATCAAATGAAAATCATATCAGAGCCAAAAAAAAAATCCTTCTATAATCATATATACAAAGTCCACCAAAATACCTAGCACTATAGTAAGGTTTAATAAATATTTTAGTGGCTTAATACTTAGCTCTCTAGAAAATTTAGATGAATAACACAACTTCTCCAAAAATCAAGACAATTTATTTAGAAAGGCAAAAACAAACAAACAAACACCACACTATGTTCTCTCTTAATAAATTTACAACTCAGAGAAAAATGCATTGTTAGAGTCATGTTTTTTCTCTAGATGTTGATTTAATAACAGAATTTATCAATTTTTAGTGTTGACCTAAATTTTCTTTCCAAAAACAAATCGTAGCTTTAAAATAGAAAGTTTTTGGCTTATGTGTCCTATCTCCAAATGATTCTCCGATCAGCCCATAAATCCAGATGAAATTCATTGTCTTAATGACAGGCAGCACATTCAGTAACTCAGCACCAGCCCAGCTACCTTTGATCTTACTCAGAGGGATAAATCTCCTATCTTGCCAAGAAACTTTCTCTACACTCAGTCTTAATTTTAAATTTGCAAAAATCAAAAAAAGAAAAAAAAAATTCTACCCGAGAAGGAGCTCTGAGTACATTGCCCTTACTCTGCTATAACTCATTTTATGAAAGAAGTATCTTTCATCTTTAAAACTCAGTGGTGCTCAACTTTCTATTCAAGGAACACATTTTCTAGGAATGGTTATCATAAGAGCCAGCAAACTTTCACTGTAAAAGTCCAAATAGCAAATATTTTAGGCTTTGTAGTCTATATGTAATCTCTGTCACGATTCTCTTTTTTCTTTCTTCTTTAAAACATTTCTAAAATTAAAAAAAAATTTTTCTAGGTTTTCTGGCTGGCTGCATAAAAATAGTTATGGGCCGGATTTGGCCTAAACATTATAGTTTGCCACTGTGGTTGGCCATATGGATATGTCAACAAACTATATGGGTTCCAGTCTCAGACCTACTACTTATTACTTGTTTGAAATTGGTCAGTTACTTAAACTCTGTGTCTCATGTTTCTCACTTATAATATAAATGTAATAATAGCACCTGATAGGCTTGCTGTGATGATTAATGAGTTAATGTATACAAAGTGTATGATACTACATATGTGTTAGACAGTGTCTTACTTTTTCTCCTCAAAAGATAAATGTGTAAGGGAGGTTGTAGTCGAAATGCAAATCTCAGCAAGTTATATAACTCAGTCTCCACCTCTATCAGTTATTTATTCAAGAGCTGAATCTCTTTTTTATCATTAATTAATTTTTAGTGGAGTACAGTTGCTTACAATGTTGTGTTACTTTCTAAAGTACAGCAAAGTGAATCAGATACATGCATAGATATATCCTCTCTTTTTAAAGTCACCACAGAGCACTGAGTAGAGTTCCCTGAGCTGTAGAGGAGATTCTCTGTTGTTGTTCAGTAGCTCAGGCCTGTCAGATTCTTTGAGCCCCATGGACGGTAGCATGTCAGGCTTCCCTTTTCTTCATCATCTCCTGGAGCTTGCTCAAACTCTTGCCCATCATCATTCAGTCAGTGATGCCATTCAACCATCTCTCCTCTGTTGTCCCTTTCTCCTCCTGCCTTCAATCACTTCCTGCATTAGGGTCTTTTCTAATGAGTCGGCTCTTCGTAACAGGTGGCTAAAGTATTGGAGCTTCAGCTTCAGCAGCAGTCCTTCAAATGAAGCTTCAGGGTTCATTTCCTTTAGGATTAACTGGTTTGAGCTCCTTGCTGTCCAAGGAACTCTCAAAAGTCTTCTCCAATACCACAGTTCAAAAGCATCAATTCTTCAGCACCCAGCCTTCTTTATGGTCCAACTCTCACATCCATACATGACTAGTGGAAAAACCATTGCTTTGACTATATGGACATAGGTCAGCAAAGTAATATTTCTGCTTGCTTTTTAATAAACTGTCTAGGTTGGTCATAACTTTTCTTCCAGGCA